CTAAAGGCTTGATTACACCATACTTCACATAGCCATCAAAACCTGTTTTCTTTCTGCAGTACTTTTTTTTCCCCCCTGACTCTCTGTGGTCACCTACTACCTATTCAATTTACACTTTGTCATTCATTGAGTGAGTCTTATTTCCACAGTATCTTTTTCCTTCAACCTTCTTTTAATGAGCTCCATTTCAGTTCCACGCCCTTTCACCACTCTTGTAACATTTTTTCTTAATTCCTTATTCTTTGGATTGCAAACCTGACTATTCTTTTGCATGTATTTCCTTTTTGCTTACATCAAAAATCTGAAAATCAACTAGACTTGCTTTGAAGCAAATTTCTTTTTTCTTTCCATACCATTTCTCTTTTCACTAATCGGTTCTACTTCTTTTAGTTTAAGAGTATCTCTTATCCTTGCACTTCCAGTGATGGAAAACACATTCTTCTTTTTCTACCTGTTGATTTTGGATTCAACATGAGACCTACAGAGGATATCTCAAAAGCAGGAAAAGTTAGGGAACTGAATAAAAAGGGAGGATGTCTACATCTCTTTTCTCACCGAGGTAATTCTTTATCTTAACACCATAATTTAAAGTCTACAGCATGGGAGCTCTCATTGCCATTCTGTGTACTTTGCTGGGAAAAAAAAACCAACAACGACATGTATTGATGCTGATTTGAGACAAGACTGTCTCAGTTAATATTTTTCACTCACTTAGTACTAAGTAATGACAAATGCAGTACAGATGAAAGACATGGTGGATCTGTCAGAGCTAGTGAGAAATGCTTTACATCTTCTTTACCAAACGAGTTAAACAGCTGCCCAAGGCATGTTTTGGTAGCCGTCCTACTTTTAAAACACTTACCGGATATCACAGCAGTTGCTTTCCTCAGAAGCAAAGTTGCAGGCTGGAGTCACCCCTCCAGCTGCTGTCCCTTCTGGTGCTCCCTGCCGTCCCCTCCGCTCCCACCTACCTCACTGCAACTTCCAGCATTTACTGGTGATGGCAGTGAGGAGCATTGAAGTCTTCAATATTAATATTAGTTTTAGTAGTACTATTACTGTTTGAGGTTATCTTATTCCACTAATTAATTTGCCAACTAATTAATTCCCTAATTTAAGAAATGAGAATAACTAGTAATAGGATTTTGAAAAAAAGGCACATTATAAAATGACTGATTTCAAAACATTGAATCAAGAAGCTGCTGCTTGCTCTCAATACCCACAAGTGTACTACTTGGCACTGGGATGCTGAGGGTGTGTTGTTGCTTTTACCAGCGTTAAAGATTTGTTGCATCTTTCTTTCCTGGATATAAAAAATCAATTATCTATGAAAGCAGCTGAAGGTACAGAAGTAAAGTTCTGAGTTTTAGCGAGACCATGATCATCCCGAAGAGCTGTCTAGTAGGGAATAAAAACGAGCATCCTCCCCTCTCAAAACCTCCTGAGCATGCCATTGTCCCAACACCCATGAAATACGAGCGCCACCCAGTGGCCAAGATAGTAAATCACACCTTGTACTGCCCGCCAAAACTGGCGTTAACGACATTTCTGCAAAGTTCTCAAAGATGTTGTAGCAATAGGAAGCTTTTTTTTGAGTACACTGCATCTCAGCTGAACAGTGCGTGTTAGTCTTTCACGGTGGTCAATACAGTTAAACATTTTCAGAGTATCTAAACCCCTTTTGCAAACAAATCCTCCTTTGCTACTGCTATCACAAACATGACTGACTCCTCCCCAGTGTGACAAGATCGCTGTTCCCCTTATGCCAGCATGAGGATTCATCAGCTAACATATACTTGGGGCGCCCTGAGAACAGAGTTATGATTGTTCAACTTCTTTTTGTTCGTTTTTATTTCTTTTTCATTCTTACCTCTTTTTTTTCTCTGTTTTCTTTTTTTCTTCTCTGCATGATACTCTCTAAGGCATCCATAAAATTTTGATACATCAGAAAAGACTAAAAACAGGCAACAAGACTGTATAATCTCTGTCTTGCCCTTCACTGGATTTGAGAACCTCTATTGAAGAGTATGGAGGTAATGACATGGCCTTTGTTTGTGCCATACTGATGCTGACTGATTCTTTTTCTCACAAAGCATATTGGTTTCAGAAACCTGTGGTCTTCTGCAATAAATTATATTGGAAATCTATTTTCACTTTCCACAGGGATGATTTTGTTCTTAGGCTATATCTGATTGTGTAAGACACAAATGGGATTTTCTTTAATTTTAAGCATGACTGCCTTTTGCAATGAACTTTTCCTTTAAAAAAAAAAAGACAAATTAATTGTGGTTATGACTGACATGACACAGACATTCTGGCTTTTTAGCAGATAAATATCTGAAACCTCTCTCGCCTGCTCTCTACTCTTTTACTTATTTTTATCCATAAGGACAGCAAGTAGCAACTTGCTCCCAAAGCTGAAGTATGAAAGCAGTGTGAATTCCCTTGGCTTTAACAGCAACTGTACATACAGTTTCATCCTTTGCTTCAGCAGTTCTTTCACTAATATCCAAGGACTTGGAAATTACACTTTACAGTAACTATTTTTAATGTTTTTAAACCTCCACATCTAGGTATTTTTTTCGACCAGTCCTGCTTCTTTAGGCAGGACAGACAGTGCCTTCGTTTTTAGCCCATCAGACTAAAGCAGGTTAAAGGAACTTCTGCACTTCAGGGTGTTCACTCATGGTTAAGATGAAATTATGAACCGAACATGTGGCAGTACACAGGACATACATTCTGGGCTTTTTCAAGCCTGAAAAATCTCATAGAGCTGAGGTGACACATGCTAATTGGAGTTATTAGGAAGCAACTGATTGAGAAGCAGTGGTTTAAATGAGTGGAAAATCTAAACACTCATTAAAAGTTCAAGGAGACAGGCAAAAGGGCAGAAACAAGACATATATTCCCCAGCAGAATAATCTTCAGCAGTCTGCCCAAGTAGCATTAGTCCCCTTTGTGATGCTTTAAACAGAAGCAGAACAGATTGCACTTCCATAATGAGATCTTGCTCACATTCTTTTTAACAGGTCTTGGGCAGCAGCAGACATTTGGCCATCACTTCACATTTAAAACAGGGTCTATATAAGTAAAAGCACGTGTCACTACAGGCTGTAACAACAGCCTTCTGCACTCTGTGGACTGGGCACAGAGGGGATGCATGACAACTACCCCGAGCAGTCGCTTACTTCAGAAGCCTGATGTGATATGATGGTGGAAATCTGAGCTGCTCTGCCACAGCAGGAGTATTTCCTACATGCTTGCTCCGTGTCTTTAATGGTGATCCATTACACAGATATTAATATTGCCAACTGATCAGTTATGAATGAGCAACCTGCTTAAATTCTGCCAGCTCTCTCCCACAGGTTCCAATACGTGCATTTTAGAGGACTACCTTAAACCCTATTTTATGTGCGCAACTTCTAACAAATGTAAGATAAGCCTGATAATTAAATACAGCTTTTTCTCAACTAATGCTACTAGTTAAATTTTCTGATGATTAAAAATCCTTCAAAAGCTCCCAGGTTAAAAATAGAAACTTATCTGGGATTATCCTCCAAAGACAAAAGTTATCCCTAAGGAATTTTATCAAATTGCTAAAGTGTTTTGACTTAAGATTTTCCACCTTTTCATTTGTTTGGCATAGCTTTTCCACACTGACACACTCAAAACTGTACTCTTGAAGCACACAGCTTCTGAGACTTGCATTTACCTCAAATGAATTAATCTGGTCCTTTGATGCTGGTATAATGTAACTAGGTTCTACCCTTTGCTTATCAGAGGTAACAAAGTCTGAATTTACACCTAACTTTAAAGCTCTTTAAAGTAAGGAATAAATCATGCACTAGTTTCCAGAGTATCATGTCAGTTTACAGTGCTACATCAACTACTGTATTCACAGTAAAAGCCCTTGTCCAATAGTTTATTAAGATGACTGATTTAGCATTTTTTGTTTTCAGGTTCTTTTAGCATCTCTACTCAGCCGGCAAATGTTGTTCTTTCAAATAGTTCAGCTGAGGGAAAAGCAGGCTGTGTTACAATAAGTGTATTAGGAAATCACAGAGAAATACCTTGTCAATCTCTTTATTCATAGGTTAAAATGTAATGCCATACAGTTCTTAACAATTACTGAAAAAAATTATCTGCATAAAACAGAAGCAAAACAGAAGGAGACCAATTAAAAAAGCCATCTTGCTTCAACTTTTGAAACGATTACATACAGAATAATATACATATTTACATTACAAGTATATTATATAAATATAATATATATGTAATCTTGTAACCACAATAAATATCAAGGTCTTTTTTAGGCACACAGCATAGAAAAAAATGCAGAATCTGCACAATCCTTAAGATTCTTGGAGTGACTCACTCTAACTTTGTTTTCACACTGAAAAAGCAAGTATTTTACACAAAATATACAGCCACATTCTATGCAGTCCCCAGTGAACAGGGAATCTTTCCTCGCTTTCCTTTAAGTCTGCTCCTTGATTTTCTAATACTATTGCTCTATACAGCTATTACATAAGAAAATAGTTTGCAGGTTTGTTTTTTACTCAGCTAATAGCCTAAGTAATTATCAGTGCTAACAAAATAAGTACAGCGTATCTACATAAGGTATATACAAGTGTTTACACAAACACGGGTTTGGTGAACTACTTCTGAGCTCACTTTTAATACTGGGGAGTTAACCTGAATGCAGAAAAAAAGGATTTTTAGTCGTATTACCTCAGAAATATCTTATCATTTGAATGAGACCTGGGCTTCAGAAGACAGAAAGCTTTAAATTTAGATATTAATCAAAAAATCTAATTCTTGGTTATGCTGGCAGATGCAGGCTGCCATTGATTTTGAATGTGTTCCCTTCAGTGCAAATGAAAATGCAGAGAATTAATCCAAAGGGAGTTTTCTCAGCCTGTACGTACAGTCACGACATTTTTAAAGACTGTTGCTATTGAGCACCTGAGATCGCACCCTAGTAAGTGAAGCTGGTCACTTCTCCTAGGAGAGCCATGATCAGTGAGAGAGGAAAAAGAAACAGCATTTTATTTTTTTCTGCAGTTACAAATCAGACTCCGGCATATCAGGCATATCTGCCATCAGGTACCCAATACCGTAACGTCCATTTGGAGCAGTGTCCAGAGTTGGTGATCCAGTCTGTTTTCGATATATGTTTTTGCCAAAATTTGGAGACGGCACTTCACTTGGACTCTTCCCATGAATCAGACTTGTATTATCTCCCTCCAGATTAACAGGTTCCTTTATTATTCGGCCTCTTTTGTAGGATACAGATGCCAAACTACCAGAGCTGTCATCGATAAGGTTGCAACGGCGCACCATGAAGACTATTGGGACCGGCAGTATGGCCAACACCATCAGAGATATACAGACAATCATTCCCCATGTTGGATAGCTGTGGAATTGTTCCATAGCCTGAGCAACACAAGAGAAAAAACTATTAATATATCTTTACTTAAAAAAGAGCAAACCTGCAGTCCTCACCAAGGCCTGCAGTTTTCAAACACATACTCATCTTTTTGTCACCTCGCACCCACAATGTGGGCACCACTACAGATCTCAAATTTGAACAGTCATGGAGATGTATGATTGCTATCTTTCTGCCAGTGAGTAGGACCAAAACGCTGTCCCACCGTTTCCGAGATGCTCAGAGCACTCTAGCAGAACCCAGATCAAGATTTTCACATTAGGCTTTCTGCTGTATTTGTCTGTATTTGTTCCCTGATCCCTTAAAGGCTGTTCAGAACAGACAAATGTGCAGTGGTATCGGTAACCGTGCCTGGAAAGTAAGTCCCTGTTCTGTCGGCTAATAGCTGGCTTAGAGAGGGACTGTCTCAGATCACGCTGTGGAATTGTTCCACTTTCTATAAACTTCATGTAAACTGTAACGCATTTACCAGGGTTTGTACTGCATCCATGATTCATTGGCCAACAGACTCTCTTTGCCTAATTTTATACACAGAAAGGAATGGTATGTTTGGTATTCTAAGATACTTCTCTTTCTAGTTTTTGAGGGCAAGAATCAAACATAACAAGAGCGTTTTTCTGAGAATCCCAAGAAAGCAATAGTGGTTGTCTGGTTAGAGGCAGGCATCTACCTATAGTAAAGCCAACCTCTTGTATTTACACTTTACCTGTCTGCTGCGATTTGCGCCCCGGCTAATTTAGACAATGGTCCATTCAGAAGGGTCCTCAAGATTCATTTCTCTAACTTTTTACTCTCCCTCTATGTTGTATGACAAGCCTGTAGAAACAGCTGAGGGCACGTGAGCCTACAAGCTAGCAGAACTCTTAGCAGTTACCTTGACTGAATCTCTTTTTGGACCCAACACGCAGCACTGACTCTGCTGTTCACACAGACAAGTTTTTTACAAATCAAATATTCTTATCAGAGACAGGTTTTAATGCAGCTGTTACCTACAATGTGATACATGTTCCCAAAGGGGAAAATTTATGGCATGGCTAAATCTCAGTATTTAATTCCACATAAAAAATTGACATGGTATCTGAAACGATTTATTCAGTGTTATCACCCAACTATTTTCTGCAGTAAAATAAGATTTAATGAAAGTGAACAACCTCTCCCAACCTTAAAAATTTCTTCAAAATATGTCAATAAACTAAAAGTCACAACAAGCATGAAGGTTCATGTCAAGTAGTTATATTTTAAAGCAGAACTACTCTAAAAAACGGTTGGTTTTACATTAACGTTACTTGAGATAAGAACAACCATGTCAATATTTATACAGATTTTGAATTTCTAATTGCAAATTTTTTGTCTTTTTATGTATTTCTGAAATACTTCAGAGATGTTCATTATGATGGTGATGGCATCTGTTACATACATACCGTATCTTCAATCCAAGCATTGTAGCCAGGAGGACTTAATCCCATTTGGACAATGCTAGCTACCAGCAAACACAACAATACTAAAGGTGAAACAAACTTCCACATGTAGTAATAATACTGGCTTGGAGAAAAACCAAGCATATCCTTCAGATCCTCCATAAATCTGTGGAGGGAATAAAAAGTTATTGTTAGTGTGTACACCAAGATTTAAAGTACTATAATTGATACATAGCACCTAATTTGAGGACATGGACACACTGAAAAGATGCATATATAGAAATGGTTGCAGTTTAGATTACTTGATGGGCTGAAAAATAGAGCTTGTATTACCAGTACAGAACAGATGAGCAGAAGGAATCTCTACACAGTGTGATGACTTAGTAAACTGACTGCTGGACTGTGCTGGAAAAGCTATTTAAACCCACCTTTCTTTTATGAAATTCTTTTTTACATCTTCTTATATTGTCTACTATGTTGTTTATTAAGGCATATGTCATTACTTTTAAGGACATATACAACCAGCACATCTTAAAGATTCAGCAAAATTAATTTCAAACCCACATGTGTGCTGCAGTGTAAAAAATAACTTTATGCATAAGCTATGGTTTGCATCATATAAGTTGCTGAAATACAACTTTGTGAAGTTTTATATCTGCCTCCTTGTGCCTCAAAATTGCAAGCTATGATATGAACAAAACTCCTATTTTTGTACTCTTGATGGAGGAGTACATGGTTCCAGAGCCAGTAGAAAAAGAGAGAATATTTTTAGAATTAATTCTTTTGGAGTGCACACAAGCATTGATTCTGTTTCAACTCCCTTGTGGTCCCACTCCCTTTTGAAATGTGGATCTCAAAAAAGCTCTTATAGCAATAAATACATTTTCAAAGCAGTTACACATATGCAGCTACTGACATATACACTCTCAAAAATTTTTTTGAACTGCATAGTTTGAGGTATTCTCTCTTTTGTTTACACTGCAATGAAACATATTGTTAAAAAGAAGTTGAATTTACAAATGGATAGCCTTTTCTTTCTGGGATCTGCAGTTCTTTATCCAGTTGAACATACATCTATTATCTTCACTTTAAAGTCTTTCATCATCTCCATCCTACTTATCCTCTTTTAAAAGCTACCAAGCTCCTTTAGCACCAACTCCAGCATAGCAGATTTCCTTCTTGGCTACAAGGATTCCCATGTTGTCTTTTTTCTATCCTTTGGTTGAAATCCCTTTGGATGCAATGTTGTTGTTTTTCTTCTATCTGATCAAAGACAATGTGCCTAATAGGACATACACATGGATCTTCATCTATGAAGAGGACCCCTTGCTGCTATCACAGCCAATGACAACCTGAAGTTGTTGATTCTGGCAGTTTTTGCAAACAAGAATGCTAGGTTCCCAAAGGAGGATATTCTGGAGAAATATACATCAGAAGAAATATTAGGAATAGTCCGGAGGGAGGTTCAGGTGGCCGTTATGAATGAGAAATCTGGCTGTTAACTTTTCACCACATTCTGTCAGAACCCCTTCTGAAAACACAAATCAACTGCACTCTGATTCAGAAGCAAAGTATTACCATATTCTAGCTACGGTTAAACACCAACTTCCTCACAGGTAAGGTGCTGACTTACGGCATGTCTGCCTCCCTTCACAGTGGAACTCTACCTGACTGGACATTACCAACCTGATAACCAGGTCATCTGTTTCATCTTTTGTTTACATGTGTAAAAACATCTACATGATGTTTTCATGTCTATGTGATCTATTACAGGATTATACATGTGGCCCAAGTGGAAATTCTCCCTTAATGAGCAAGTAGACCAGGCACTACTTGCGTAGACCAGAAACAATGTCTGGAAACCATAAAATTAAATTTTCTTATTATAGTTTTATTTCATTATGGCAAGAGACTGGCTGATTACTCAGATCAAACAAGTGAAAAGTCAAATGAAAAACCACCCATTCTATGTCACCCTTTGTACATGTAAAGGAATCACAGATGTTTAAATTACTTCAACATGCTAGTATAGCATACTCTGCTCTATCTGTGGATGGCATGAGTTGTTTTTTATACAAACTCTTCTATTCCTTAAGTGTGGCACACATTGATCTCACTTAGTGAACACATTCTGGTAATTTCAGTCATAAGATGTAAAAAATTAGAGGGACTTGATGGTCTTTTCTCTTCAGCCATGACAGAAGGTCACATAACTTTATTGTCAACTGTGATGCTTCCAAGTAAGTTTTGACCCTGTTCTTTGCTATAATTTCCTCTATTTCCTCTCTCACAACTAATGCAAAGAACAATTCATTGCTACAACACCTCAAACTAAATCTAGTTCATAAACTGAAACTTTCTTATTGTTATTGCCATTAGAGTTTGCTTTGTTCCTCTCTCAGGCTGCCTGGCATACTGCAGCCCTGTTCAGAATGCTCATCCTCATCTGCTGCTTAGATCATGGTGATTACTTCTTGAAATCTTTCTCTTGCTACCTTACTTCTATATAAATTCCTCATACTTGCATTTCCAGCCTTCTTTCTACAGCTCTAATTTTGACTCTTTCACTGCGTTCTCCTCTCTTTGGATCTGTTGCAATCACTCTTTGAGTTTCACTACACTGTCCTGATGCAGTGTATCTTGCTCCAAACCCCATTCTTAATAACAGCCTAGACTCACATCCAGATTGACCCACTTTCTGCTTACTTGTATTTATGTGTACATCGCAAATACTTCTCACAATATAATTAAAATAGTAATAATTATTGTAACGAATACTGTTGATATGGACAGGGAGATACATTTCCTTCACTTACTTGTCTATTCCATAAATTCGTGTGACTGCAATATTCTCCAAAATGACCACAATAAGCAGGGGCAGAGTAGCTGAGTAGTCATCAAACATCATCACAAAATAATTTCCAGAGCGCTGCACGAAGATCAGGCCAATAAAAAACGCTACCAAGCAGCAGATGACTGGAATAAAGGATAGAAATGTGAGCTGTAATTATAACAAAGTTCCATAGACAGAAGAGGAATAAAGAGAGTTCGAAATAGAAAAGATACACTTTAATGCATTATTTCATATAATCAAAGTTAATAACATTTTACTTTTTAGGACAGTCTCAATTTTAAGAATATTAGGAATCCTACCTATTCCCTATATAACAGAGAAGTTATGAAATTAGAATTACTGGAATTACTGTATTACAGCAGTCCTGATTAAGCAGCAGAGATTAATCAAGTGATTATCTCTCATTAAATATTTAACTTAATGTGAAGGCAAGGCTAGAATAAACAGAACTGGTAAACTAAACATCATACATCATGTTACTTGGTCACTAGATCACTTTTTGGAGTTTAGAAGTGAAAAGAACCAAAGTTTCAGACTATGATTCTAAAAAATATAAAAGCTGAATAGACTTTCCCTAAAAGATCATTCACATCATGAAGTTCCATTAGGATGTGTCTATAAATGTGTTTGTGCACTAAGCAACAACATTTCTGCCCCTTCTTTCGTTTAGGGACAACGTGAAATATGTTTCTTCAATCCTTGATCCTGCATAATGAATCTCAATATAACTTTTTCCTACTAAACTCATTGAGAATAAGACTGAACACTTATGTAGACTTAAAAAAGGTCAGATGTCAATAAATTGTGAAAGCAATTGTAGGTTGAGCACCAGTAAGACTGATTCTCCCACTTGGAGTGCCTTTTTCTGCCCCCCGCCACTGGGAGTTCAAGCTTAAGGATACATCTAAGCAGTCTAAAATTAGGTAAGGATACATCTAAGCAGTCTAAAATTAGGTAAAATCAATCTAGGCCAAAATATAAAATATCCTTACAGAATATACCCATTGCATAAATCCCAGATAATCAATTAGTATTGATTATAGCAGTGAAAGGAAGACAATGACACTTTTTTAAATACTGTGGTAGAAGACCAATCACTTTCTGCAACCTGGTAGGAACTATTGTTACAGTGACTTTCAGAGAATAGAAGTTTATAGAATTCTTATCACAAATTGATGAGAACGCCTAACGCAAAATAACAAAACCAAAAGAACACAGATAAAATCTCCTTGACCTGAGTCTCATTTTCCACACTGAGTTTTATTACTGACCGTGAGAAAACAATTAGACCACCAGAACCATGTGCATGTGAATTTAGAAATCCCTGATGTTCTTATGTTCTCCCATTGTGTCTTACAATTACATCCCAAAAACATGCATCTTCAGTTGTAAAGTAAGGCTCCGGTAGGTATACTTATCACAACTCGGCACGTACACATGCAGACTCCAATTTGGAAATACTTGAATGCAAAATGACTTAAAGCATATGAGTTGGTTTCCCTGAACTAAAGAGAGACTGCACTGGAACCATGGTGCAAAAAGTTGCAAATGTGCTCACACTTTGGTAAAAATTCAAGATTTGTGGTTCTTAAGCACAAACTCTAGTGCAGGCATAATCCTTGTTAAATCCCACTGATACTCCATGAAGTATAAACTAGGCATTTCAATTTTATAAGTTAATTACAAAAACACCACATCAAGTTGTAATCCTTTAAGTACAACTGAGTTTAGCAAAAATCATGCATGCATGCCACTCGACAAAATTACAAGAGACGGGCAGTTCTTGAATATTCCTTTATCTTAATAGTTCTTTTTTTGTCAAATGCAATAACAAGGAATTACTGTAAAATGCTCCATTACTCCAGAGTAATGACTATATATCATAGCATTTGCATATACACTTAGGAAGAACAGCTAATTTCTAAATGTCACACTGGTTATTCACTAAGAATTTAAGAGCTGTTAAAAAAAAACATAACCAGACAAATGTTCAATAGGTTAGGACTTCTGAAAAATCAGTTGAACTATCTTTATGAAGAATTTTATTCTTAGATCTAGAGAGCAAAAAAATACATGTTTTCTGTTAAATATTTCTTATTACATAAGCAAGGTAAGGAAAGCAGTTAGGAAAGAGCAGTGCTCTGCTGCATCAGGGATTAACTCTTATAAAATATATTATTATTTCTTTCGTACTGTTAGATAATGTTAAAGCAGCTTATTACATTTTTTATTTTCTATCCCTCCTGTCACAAGTATTGATATGAAATCCGAATTTGTGCATAGCACATCAAGTCCCTTGCAGCTGTCCTGAAGATTTTCAGGAACCTAACTTTCACATTTTATGCTGATGTTCTATCTCAAAAAGAGAAATTGCTACAAGATCATCTGAGTTACATGTACAGGCTATACCTCAAATAACCTTGGCCATTTAAATTAAAAAAAAAACAACTAGACATCTTGTTTAAGACCTATTCCACATTCAATAGGGAAAAATATGTTCCTCTAGAGAGTAACTGTACTGATTTTTAACATAGTGAACATTTCATCATAAATTAAGCTTTCATTTGGCCTACTTAGGAATAATTTGTAGTAATTTGCAATGTATTTTCCTTCTTTCCTTTTCCTTTGTTTCCCTGATGTGTGAGACAGGCTGGAATGGAAAGTATTCTGCAAGAGCTCAGGACTGAGCATGCAGAAACTTGTAACAGAAATCCTCCATTAAAATGTAAAGTTCTAGGATGTTCCTGCTCTTGTAATATTCAGGATAAGGTTTTATTTGCAGATATTAATGTGCCTGTGCATGGAAGTACAGTCTGGAATACAGTGATTTACTGCTCTGTAAAATGTCAGCACTGAAACTTTTTGTGTCAAAAACAAAACTTCATACCGTCAAAAAAACCAAAATGTCTTACTGCTCTAGTGAGAAAAGAAAGTTTGTGCAACTCACCAGTAAGAATTTCTTTCCTGACTTTGAAGGTATCAACAATGGGTGTGATGATGCCTTCAATGGTTCCAAACATACTTCCAAGTCCCAAATTTACCAACATGAGGAAGAACATGACTGACCAGAACGGAGAAGCAGGGAAGTGGGTCATTGCTTCTGTAAAGGCAATAAAAGCTAAACCAGTTCCTTGAACAGCCTGTCAGTGAGAAAAAAAAACATGTTATTATTCATGGGCAGTATTTTTTTTGTAGTGTGACAGTCTGACTTTGTGTTCATGCAATGTCATTGATTAAATCTTGAAAGTAGAGTGGGAAGCTGCTATCTAATATGCGATTCATCCAAACCTGCGAACTTAATTAATACTATTTACTGAAACATTGGACTTGGCTGTAAGGTGATCGATATTAACAACACGCTTATTTCATAGAATCATAGAATATCAGGTTGGAAGGGACCTCAAGGACCATCTGGTCCAACCTTTCTTGGCAAAAGCACGGTCTCGACAAGATGGCCCTGTCCAGCTGCATCTTAAAAAGTGTTCAATGTGGGAGAATCCACCACTTCCCTGGGGAGATGATTCCCTCTTGAGTCCAGTTGGAACTTCTTTCTCTCTTTCATTGATAATTTTGCATGAGAGCTATTACACAGGACTACCACAAAATACAGTAAGTATATAAACGACTTCATTTCTGTAGCTATTTGTTTTATATTTAAAAGGCAGGAATAGTATAGAAACTTTTAATGTCTAGAGTCACCAATTTGACATTTTAGCTTGCTCAACTCTTCTAAAAACCAGAACTTTAAAAACGTAGCACCTCCTGAGAAGAGTGATATAATGATCAAAATATATTATAAATCAGTGAAGACTATATTAAGACATCAGACCCAAAAGTCCTCAGATGAGCTGGAATGCAACCCTGCATAGAACCATGTTTTCATATGGATCTTTACAGGTGCACTGCTCACAGGTACACTGTACTGATACTCTGTGTAAGTATACTTCACAGTTTATTTCAGGCTTACAAATATTCATCTGTTCATAATCTCTGTACTCAAGTTGCGCCAGGGGAGGTTCAGGTTGGATATTAGGAAGAACTTCTTCACTGTAAGAGTCGTTAAGCATTGGAACAGGCTCCCCAGGGAGGTGGTGGAGTCACCATCCCTGGAGGTGTTCAAAAAACATTTAAATACGGCGCTTCGAGACATGGTTTAGTGGGTTTAGCGGGCATGGTGGCATTGGGTATATGGTTAGACTTGATCATCTTTGAGGTCTCTTCCAACCATAATGATTCTACGATTCTACTTAAGACTTATTACTCTCACCTTGTTAAGTTCATCTTCAATTTGACAAGATTTCAGACCGAGAGAATCAAACTCTTCTTCTTTAACTTCCTGAATAATGTCATAAACTAAATTGTAATCTTCTGCTGTAATGCTTGAGAAATTGATATGATGGGGGATCATATCCTGGCTCAGATTGCCTATTTTCAAAAGTTTTAAAATCTTCTCTGAATTTCTGTAAAACACAATAAAACAGAGAAATCAAACTCAATGATCTGCATTATTTCATAAAAGAAATATACCATAAAAATAATTTTAAAAAGAAATGGATATTCATACTGGATAACACATTTTTCATTTATGATATTGGCTTTGAAGCCCAGAACTGCAAACACCACCAAAGTTGCCAGCACAGAAGTGAAAAAATTGATGAAGGACACCAGTACAGCATCAAAATGGCAGTTGTTGTCTCTCTTGTTGTAGCTTGAAAAGGCAATGACTCCACCAAATCCAAGCCCTAAGGCAAAGAACACCTGAGTAGCAGCTTCTCTCCAGACCTTGGGCTCCAGCATTATTTCAAGCTGTTTGAAATTAGATATAATATATGTCAGCTATAAAATGCATTTCTATTATATGAAAAGACAACAGAAAAAAAAACAGGAAGACAACCTACATCATAAAATGCTAACACTCCACTACAAATGTATTTTCATTATGATAAAATGAAAGCTGAATGTGACACCTAAAGTTGAGCAAACTTATGGGCCAGAATTTCTATTTATTTTATATGACATAATTCTTAAAGAGAAACATGCTATACAGTATGTTCCCAACAATGAGACACTACTGGAGCTATATGACAATTGAAATAGCAGTTAGTTATACTGAGAGAGAACATGCATCTTTTTTCTTTTCTTTTTTTTTTTTTTTTACAGTATTTACTGTCTTTTTTTTTTCACTATATGTATTGACAGTTGTTAGAATTACAATGTATTTTGGGATGATCAACTCTTATAAATGCAATAAGTATGCTGAAAGTTATTTTGTTGTTACTTTAAAAAAAGTGAATGAGATGATACACATGCTTATACGGAATTCTATTACATGCAAATATGTAAAGCAAAGTGCAACATATGAAATAAATGCAGGCCACCACAAGCTGTATAGTCCACAAGTCAAATCTCCCTTAAGCCAGATGCCTTGAACTTACCCTAAGTTAAATGGGTCATGTATCTGAGGGGCAACTAAGCCTTTTATCAAAAAATTGAACTGTATTGCTCATTCAGATGACTATACTTCAAGAAATATCTTTGTTACAAAGTTATGAGTCATCATTTGTCTATCTTAGATTCTTCTAGATACTGAATTAAAAAAAAGTACATGTGAAATTTTAAACATTAGATTTTCTCAAGTTGATTCAGAGCCTCCATTCATTTAACAGTGAAAGACCTTACATCTGCGTGTGTGATTTTTTTTTTAAACCCTAGGTTTATTGAAAACGGTAAAACTAAAAAGCATCAGTATACATGTCAGCATCATTAGACTGACTGTATTACCCCAAGGAAAAAAATATCTGCTACTATTATGATAACATTTTGAAAAATTTTCCAGTTTCCCATAAAGGTACAATGTTTGTTACAGATAGGTATCAGATACCTTCTTTATTCATTTAAATATAGCTAAAACATAATATATTTGGGGGGAAAAAAAAAAAGCTGTTTATGACAATAAACCTGTTCCTGAGTTACAATTTTTGTTATAATTACAATGCACAAGTAGCTATTGCACGTAGTTCAATCTGCCTGCATCACAGAGTCATGCTAGACCTTTTCCACGCGAGGGAGCTCGAGGAATACTTTTATTTTCACCAAATCTGTAAATGTTTGAAGCATCGAAACACTTCTTGCTTTCTGCAATATATCATTTGGTAGCATCAAAGGTAGTACATTCACAGATACATGTTGCCTAGCATTTCAAAATAAACTTATAATTGATTTGCTACTACAAGATATTTTCTGTGAAATTTTGGGGGTTCTGTATTTAAGCTTCATACGGTCCTACAGTTTCATTGCAGTAGTTGACTTCAGTGGGCTTTTCACATACCTTTCTTTAGGTTTTTCATTAAGGTTAATATTTAGAATTTCTGCTTTGTTCATCAACCACAACAAACAGAGAAATTCTCCCCTTCTTCATTAGCCTTGTGCTCTCTGACTGACCACAATGTGTGCCAGTCCTCTGCTGTGCTGACACAACTCTTGCGTGGGAATGTGTTGTTATCATCTGTGGTCAAAACATCGTCGTTTGCTGAACTAATCAAGGCTGAAAAGATGTTTTCCTTTCTGCTCTCACATCTATCTACCTGGGCAATTTTCAACCTAGATCAGTTTAGCAATCCTTTCTACAGCCTGCCTGCTCAAATAAACTGTTAGCACAACGGAGCGAATGGAAAGAACAGGTGGGGGAGTCTGAATTCCTTCAGGTAGTTTCATACGAACCTACAGTCCAAATCAGTGCCCAAGTACAGAAACAATCAGAGATTATAATGAAAATACTTTTGAAGGTTTACATTCACATATACTGTATGTGACACGCAGGCTTCCTAACTTCCAATTTAAACCACAACTTAAATTTCGAGATACAGAACTGGAAACCAACAGAAGAAACTAAAACCAATTTTTCTTTTGTTTATCTGAACACTTGAAACAGTTGTATAATTAAGTTATAACTACAAAGTAAGTATCAGCTGCAACTTATTTTAGGTGTAACTCATGAAAGATGAAATAGTGAAGAGGTGCTGACATTCAAGAGGAGTTTCAGTGTCTACTTTCCCTCAGTATCTAGTTGTACTTCTCCAGTTAAAGAAAGGATTAACACTATGATTGAGAAATCGAATTATAACTTCAAGAGGTCTGTATTCCATCTCTGCTATAGACGTCCTCTTGGTCACTAAGCACTACATTTCTCTATTCCTCAGATTTCCCAACTTTGCCTGAGCAGCCTGCAAGTTCCTGCGCAACCACGCACAACTCTCTAAGGCAGTGATAGCGAGTGAAGTGGAGCACGACTGCATATCACAATGCAAGAAGGAACAATGTGATCACTAACAGAGGTCATTTTTATAGGATGACAGCTCTCCACAGACTCAAAACACCTGGAATCAAAACAGCTGACAACACTCTGTCATCTGGCATTAGCCACTATGTGCATTGATTTTAATCATCTTATTATTTGGCTTTTATTTTTGGAAGATCAGTCCTGTTCTGCTCCTTATGAAAAGCACTTGTTGGAAACTCCATTTCATAATACAATATGAAGCCCAGCATTATGCATGCCTCAGTATGGCTCTGACTACTCAAACACGCTGTTCCTGTAGGATAGATACAATTACAAGCATTTGAGATAGGTGTGGGTAGAATTTAGATCTTCAGGCTAAACAATGATTCGTAACATCCCTTCTCACCTCCGTAGTTATAAAATCTAATGTTCTGTAAGACACATTCCCAGTAAAAATGTTGATAGTAAAAATTGTATGCTTAGACCTGCTGCTATCTTGGCATGACAACCACAAGAAACATGGTAAGGAAAGTTGAGTGGTAAGTACTTACACTACTATTAAAGACAGGTCTCCTGTACTTTGGGCTACTATTCAAACAGTATTAATTTCTAAAAAGGAACAAATTTGTCCTCTTTCAAAAGGGAAAAGTTAATTATGTAAAGCCATGACAGCATTCAAGGTAAGGCATTTCACTGTGACATCCCAGAACTAGGCATTTCAATCCTAGAGAATGGCAAGATTTAAGATTCACTTCTCTTTTCAGTATTCGGAGCTCTCTAAATGTCCTGAACCCTGGAAATAGCACTTTCAGTTGCTTAGTTTTGTAAAGGCATCTAACTCTGGGAACCCTTTACCTAAGGGAGGTAACTCTACACAGACCCTTGGAACACTTAGAGCCTTTGGACCTTAGGGCTTGATATTGTGCCACTGAGGTCAACAACAATTTTGCAATTTAACCAAACAGAAACATGCCCAAATGTTCTACGAAGACAATAAGCTTAAATGAGAGCATTCATAAATGGTTAAATTGCCACTGAAACTTTAATACACTGCAGACAGAAATTAAGCACATACCTTAGGTGTGAACATGTGACGAATTCCATCTACTGACCCATTAAGGAGCAGTCCTCTGATCAGAAAGCATAAAAGTACCACATAAGGAAAAAGGGAACTAAAATACATGATCTGAAAAACATTAAGAAGAAATTTAACACGACATCCATGGACTTTATTTTCAATAACTTCATTCACTACTCAGTATCTTTTGGATATATGACTGAATTGATAATCATATGCTCTAAGAAATACAGAGAACCCTTCCCATTCCCTTTGTCTCTGCAGAAGAAAGCAAAATCACATGACTGTAAAATACATTCCATACTGTATTAAAACAATACGGTTGCCATTGTGTTGGCTCATTGATAACAAACTGCTGGGCTTCCAGGGAAATTCAGTGTGAATTCAATGAAATGACAACGACAAGGACAGAAGTAGGCTGGTTTAGAAATGCTTCACTTTACAAATGCACTTTGATTCAAGTACATAGTATGGTAAAGATACACAGCATGAACAGAAACCTATTCTCTCTTCAGAAGGACAGAAGACAAGAGTCAATGGAAAGGACATAACCATTGGATTCAAATCACTAAGTGATGCTTACTGCCAAAACAGAAAAAAACAAAAAAAAATCAAATACAATCTTTTGTTCTCCATCACTGAAAAGAAAATCTATTCTGTTCTTTAAAGTTTAGTAAAATGATTCACACACTAAACTTGCTAGCTGTTTCTTTAACTGAAATACACTAAAGAGGTCACAGAAATTTCCACTTCAGTGCCGAACTTGTTAATAGCAAAGAATTTTGAGATTAGAACAGATTATTTATCATCTGAAAATCCCACTGAGATCAACAGAGCTAGCAAATCATTCACTGGCCAATGCAGCTGGCTGCATGGGGAGGAGAGAAGACAAGGTGAGTACTCAGATGCAAAGGGATGGTTACTCATTAGTCAAAAGAAACACTCCAGAATCCTGAAAAGCAGCTGTGTTAATGACAGAAGGATGCAAACCAATGACAGTAACAATAAAAAGAAAAATGGCAAGGCATTTTGAGGACCTGGGTGCACTGCAATCATGCTGTGAGTACACATGGAAGCCTAACTCCTTAGACATTCAGAAACACAGACTTATGCTGCACAATAAAGCTGAGGTACAGTTACTTGCAACAGTTATGTTGATGAGAACAGAAATGAGTCTTCTTCAGATCTTAATTCCCACTAAATTACTACAATTCCCACTAAAATTACTACAATTTTAATGCTTAACTACTAACATTCCTCTACTTGAGACTATACAAATACTGGGATGAGTCACAGCTTCTAACCTGCTCCTACAGATTTCATGAGAGAGTAAACAGAGGGTGTGGTGAACAAAAATGTCGTGAAACCTTTGTTTCAAAGTAAAACACTGTCATTCGAGTAAACAGGATACTCACTTTGCCTGAAGACTGAATGCCTTTGATCATGGCTAGGCATACCATGACCCAGGCAGCCAGCAAGCAGATAGTCATCTTCCAATTTAAACCCCCGCTCTCTGACAGAGAGCTGGAAATATTCAGCGCTTCTCTGTACCAGTAATAAGTAGTTGCAGAACTTTTTTCACACTCTGGCTCCACAACTGTCAAGAGATGTTAGGAAGTAAAGAATGGGTTCAGGACAGAAGTATTTTCCCAACATTTCATAACAATGTTCTACCAATTCTCAATATTTGTAATTGTGCTGTCATCATTTACTGAGAAACTAAACTCACAAAGAGTCTTAAGACATTGTCTAAAAGAAAAACTGACTGCTATCGGTGAAAGGTTTTGGGTATATCTTTTTAAAACACCCTTTTGGGATAATGTATTCCTCTCCATATGGTCAATCCAAGCCCCAGGCAGAATTTATTTTTCACTTACCTACTACATAGTAGGCAAGCCTAGATGAAGACATACATTCCATTTATCACATGTAAGATTAGATTACCTACATAGGATACTGTGACTTACATACTATGAAAAGTACCTCTCTGAAATTGAACACAATTTTGAAAATATATGGAAAACAAATTCTCAATTGTGTCTGCTTTGATATGACACTCAAATCAACAGGCACTTAATTACTATTCTAAATGATACCAAAGTGATGAGAAAAGGAAAAAAATGGCTCCTACACAGCTATGTTAAATGGAAGTTGCTATGTGTATTCCAGAAGTGAATTTTTGATTATATTGCAATTCTGCTTTATTCACATTACTAAACAGTTTAAGACATTGTGTGTGTCTAGACATGTAGCACACACAAATAGAAAGAACTCTTCAAAGAAAATATTTAACTTTTTTACAAATTATTTATATGTGACAATCAATCACCTCTAAACTAGGTTCTGAGTCAAGGTAATCAATGAAGAAAAGGGAAAAATATACTAATTTTAAGAAACTTAATACAGGTGTCATACGTAAACAGCTGCTGTGGCTCGATTAATGGACAACAGCTTGTAGAATACAGTCAATTTGACTGTGTGCCAACATTCACAAATACTGATTATTTCAAACAACCGCAGCAAGTAACTCTGGCAGATACCACAAAAATATCGTACAACTTTTCAAATGTCCCTGCTTATGTTCTTTACTATAGAGGTAAAAAAACCCACAAAAGATAATTAAAGAAAACTTAGGATCTGAAAAAGAAAAGAAATATTTCATATTTCAATGGCAAGGATAATGCAAAGTGTGTTAACTATTACAAGATAACCAAAACTAAGGGATAATGAACTTTTAATGTTGTTGTATAATATGTCCATGTAAGACTATCTCATTATAGCAACAAACCAATAACCAATTATCTTATTCTATTGCTTCAGAAAGCAAACCATGCTTTTATCACATGCATTTCATTGATGTTTACAGTTTTCCATTTTCTGCTTTGTTATTAATGCAACATTTTTTGCTTTTTACCAGGAAGTATCGTACTAATGGAAATGTAGAAACATCCTTCTTCCACCTTTGTTTCTCACCAAGTAAGCGTAAAAAGCAGTATCAACATCAGAAAAAAGCAATTAGAAATTTCTTCTCTGCAACACATTAAATAGCACTCTCCTAATTTCATTACTCTTTAAAATGCTGTTGACAGTGATGTTCCATTCCAAATACAGTATATTTACTTTAGATTAGGTTACGTTGTTGTATTTTTTCCAAGTATTGTAATGTGATATCTTATTAAGATGGAAAACCAGCTTTGCATATAACACTTTTTTTCCCATAAATACCTCTTTGAATTGTATTTTTTCTCCTTTTTGTTTGAAAATCTCAAATTTTATATATTTTTTGATTTTTAAGAACATTAATATAGACTTACAGGTATGAGATGTATTTTTAACTAAAGGACACTGGTCCCACGGTAATGGATGCTGAAAAGACTGGGAAAAGTAAAACAGACTCCATCCAATAATGACATTGTAGTACAGGGCCACAAAAAAACATACCTATTAAAAAAAACAAACAGATCAAAAAATTGCATTTATTAACTACATTTGTAAATTTAAAAAAAAAAAAAATCCCTACTGAATTTCTGCACATTTCTGCACATCAGCCATTGAATCTAATTTTAACTAAAATAAGTCAGAATAACAACTGAATGGCTTGCCCCATTAAAGTACCTAATATTTTCTAAATTTTCACTTTTCTCTGTATTTATCATGTAACACCTATACTTTTACAGGCATTTTGTCTCCAGAAGACTACTCTGTTACCTAGTTCTCAATTTCAAAAGAATCACAAAATACAAGTTGATTGGTTTTACAGACATATCTATATCAACGTTTTTAATGTACTAATTTAAGTTTTCAGACCTTCCAAAACATCGTAAACTGACCTTGATGCCCAGCTACAAATCAGTGGCCTTTCCCTGCAGCAAAACAGAAAGTTTAAATCATAACAGACTGAAAGAAATCCACAAAACTAATAACTTACTACGCAGCTTGCAAATCCAATTCCTCCAAGTTTGGGGCTGATATAATTCCACACACCAATACTCCCTCGGCGGATTCTCTGCCCCACAGCAAGCTCCAAGAAAAAGAGTGGAATCCCTATTATCAGTAGCAGGATTAAGTACGGCACAAGATAGGCACCTACGAAAGGAACAAAGTATAAATCAGAGTGAGTGGAGGAAGAGTCAGACCTTGACACAACAAATGCGAAACCTTCTAATAGCTTCAAGTTTGAATTAGTGTCATTCACTGCAAAGCTTTTTTGATCACATGCAAAGAGTAATTTTACCTGAATCTTGGCCATACACCTTGTAAGATATGAAAAACCCAGAGACACTGAATTTCTAAAGTACGGTAATTTTTGAGGCAAACCTTACTGAAAGTGAGTTATTACCTAAACTAGTTGTTTGCTCGTGTGAAATTTTGGGCATTTGATCAAACTTTTTAGAAATATAGTGAGGCAATCGGGAGCTGAATCAACACTTCATAAAAAAACTCTACACCTTGACTTGTAACAGAGCAGCAAGATTGAATTTATAAAGGAAATATAGAAAATACTGCGTGTACAACATTCTGAATTTCATCCAATCTTAAGCGGTTTCAGAGGATCGTCTGCTATTTCTCCATGTGAATCTCAGATGCTCAGAAAGGGGATTTCACAATGTTCAGAACAATGATTCTATCCAGCTAAGCACGAAAGCTGTATCAGCTCATTTCTACCAGGCTCCAGACAGAGACTAGAGATAAGAGGTGGAAATGAAATGGAGTACTGTAGATCCAGATCTTGCAATACTCACAGACTCTCCTTAAAGATATATTTGAAAATGCAACTGTTACTTCACCTCTATACACACACACATATATAAAACAATTCCTTTCTTCAAGGTCTTATTCTAATGAAGTAGTCATACACACTTCTAACTTAAAGATTTATCTCCATTTATTTCAGTAAAACTAATTGCAAGCAAATATATCCATATACTAAGTGCACTGACAAGTTCAGAACGTAACTTCCTCCTTGCTGTTGTGGAGTATTTAGTACTAGAGCCAACAAAACATTTAGACATCAGCAATTAGCAACGTGGCACCTAATTTTCAAATGTGTGGCTCTTATGCTGTAGTACAGAGTACTGTGCCGGCCAACTAAGTCAAAGGGCTTAGGACTTTTGATTGCAACCATTGTAAAGCTAAAGAAAAGCACGAGATGCAGACTGCAGCATGTTGGAGCAAGCTACAAAGCAAAGATCTAAACACATCAGAAGCTTAGACTCACAGCTATTAAGTTGTATAATCTCTATTCATCTCTTTGATGAGAAGCTGAGCAAAGTTCAGAAACCAATTTGGGATTTATCTTCAACTCCAGCTAAGTCCTGCTTTAAGTTTCTTCATCCAGCATCAACTTTCTAGGGCTTTTTTAGAGGTCTATCAAAATACACTGTCATTTGCATATCCTTAGTAGGCAGCTTATCTCATGGAATACAGTTTATTTTAGAAAAGTCAAATTCTCCCAAGCTGTGCAGGAGGCCTGAGATTTTCTGGTACCATCCACTCCTATATAGGTCTACTGCCTACTTTGCTTTTCATGAAATATGCATAAATTGGACATCACCTTCCATTATAAAGATCTTACAAACATCCTAAGCATGGAGTAACTATAGTCTTGAGTCTAAGAATAGTAGGAAAAAGACTGAGGAAATAAAATCTGAGAAAAACTATTGGTGGACCAGACAAAGAACACAGATCTTATTTACCTCACAGTCTATAGGCTATTGCTAGCAATGAAATAACTCCTTGTGTTTTATTTTCATGACATGATGATATGATATGCAATGATATTGTTTGAGCAGTATTTGGTCAAAACCTACGCCAGGCTCTGAACAATATATCGGTTTTGAGGTTACAATACTCCCCTCATAGAGCCAAACATCATGGTCTATCTGTCCATCTCAGCACACTATAGAGTGTCTACTTAAGTATTGTTCCTACTGAGGTAGCAGCTACGTTCCCATGCAGTACTTTGGTGTCTCTTGTGGTTCACCTTGTATGTGCACATAACGGAAAGAATGCAAAGCACTTACTTTCTACTATGAAAAGAGAGACGAGACAGAAGGAAATAAGTGTGAGGAAAACTGAGGAACAGAGTAACAACCACATTCCAAAATGAGGGGGACTATCTGTCTTAAGAATACATAAGACAAATAATACCATTAAATACCCTTGATTTATCATCAACATTCTCTCAAAATTTCTGTGAGACAGAAGTATACTGTTAATTCACATTGCAAATGAGAAGCTTTAGCATCACTGTCTTTAAAAATCTGGTCATACAATTAATTGACAGCCAACAGCGCATAGCTTTTTAAATCGTATAACACTACCATAAATGATACCTGAGGTCTTAAGTAGATAGGTGTTGCATAGGTGAGCAGAGACAAGCCTAAACAGCTCAAACAAACTGGGGCCTAAATGACTTACCCTGTATCCCACTGGATGACTGTACTAGAGCAGGAACTGAACCCAGCTCTTCAGTGTCCCAGTCCACAACCTTAATCACAAGGCTGCAAAGTTAAGCACATGTTTAAAGACTGGGCTGACGTGGGTGTTTTATGGTGCAGTATCAATGTAAGTTGCAAAATTTATCAGTTAGATTCAACTCAATGAGTTAAATAAATGTGGTGTTAAATCCACATTACATTATACATGCCACAACCCTGTAATTCAGCATGGGTAGCCAGCAGTTCACCTCTGTACTGCAGGGCTTCTGCAGAGCACCTGAAGCACTGGTCTTCTGATCATTCAAACCTGCTGAGCTCCCTTCTGATCTCGTGCGCCTCCCCAAAAGAAGGATATAATGGAAAATAGTGCATTTATGAGTTTCAGTGTGATATAGTTTGGATGTAGCTGGATTATACAACTGTATACCACAGCTGCAAAGGGCTTCTGTGCCCTACAGACAACATGAAACCACAGCATCTCTAGACAAGTATTTTGTTTCAGCCTTCCCTTGAAGCTAGACATACTTTGAAGAACTGTAAGACATCTTCAGTTCATTATAAAACAGAATCACTATGGAAACGGCTCAGCACGTCTCATATTTGCCAGTGCATGGAAACATGGGTCTTAAGAGTTACAATATTGCATAAGGATCATTTTTATTTGCATTAGAACAATAAACTATACCTGTCAGTCTTGAACAGCATCCTACAATGAGTTATATTGTCTGCTACATCTACCAGCTAAGCACCCTTCTGAATATTGTAATTCTGTGCAGTTCAGGATCTCCAGGTCTCCTTTTGACATTTTCAAAATTATTCTACTGTAAAGTCTTTTTTTTTTTTGCATATTTTACTCTTAAATACTGGCTTTCATATTAAAAAACTTAACTTCAGAAGGACAAAAAAAATTCTAAAAAAAAAATACCTCATCCTTCTTCACTAGAATGAATGGCAAAGTTACAAAAGATTTCAGGAACTGGTGAATGTTAATATTGTGCACAGCACTGCTTTGATTTCTTAATTTTTTTGTTTAACCAAGCACTGTAGTGGGATAACTGGTAAATTATCTCTCTTGATATTACATTATGTACTGCATTTGGCAACATTTTTGATGGAAGTGGAATATTAACATTGGTTTTGATTTAAGTTCTTATAAATGCTCGGGGGGGGGGAAATAACGGAAAATAACATGATTCATAGTGATTAAGGAGTTGGAAAATAATTTCAGAAGCAGTAATGCAAGATGACATAACCATTACCATCTTGATAGTACAGAAGAACTTTTCTTCTCCTAGCCATTCTTGATGTAACCTGAAAAATATAATAATCTTCCAGATTTGTTTCAACTGCTGCTGTGCTAGTTCTTAATTAAGTGTCTAACGCCTGATTTAATTCTTATTCAATGAAGGTGAGCTTTACCACTGTCTTGAAGAGCTGTCCCAGTTCTTACACCTTACTGGACACTACTTACTGAAAGCTAGCAAGAAGCTAATACTCAGATGAAGATCAACTTATTTTCAATGTCAAATGTTAAAATTTTCAAAGTTATGATAAGTGGGCAACAAAACACTACAGGTTTACAGTCTACTAAGCTCCTATAAGTGAAATTATTTACCGTTACAAAATACAAACTGCTTTTATCAGGAAAACTCTGATCAAAGGTTTTATGTTTTATCTGTAGATTTGTAGCCTATCCTACAGATACGGTAGTCTTCCTGTCACTAGTCTTTCACAGTTCATGTTCACATGTGCCTGTTTGCAAAACTGTGCTTAAAGGATGAAAACCCCCTTAACCAATAAGCTTTAATGAAGAATTGCACTGGCAGAATAAAAATAGGACATTTTCAGCACACTGAAGTACAACTAAATTTCGAGTCTGATAATACAGTTTAAATCAGAACTCACAAAATAATATTGAAATCATCAGTGAATTCAAGGCACTGATTATAAATTATTGATCAAAAGCTAAATAATGAAGCCACTGAATCCATACTCAGTGTTGGAATACATGGGAATATTTGCTTTGCTCCCATTCTGCTTGTATCAGACAATCAGACTGTGGCTTCTCATGACCACTCCGTCTGCAACAGTTTATGTATTATTTCCTCAGCAGTTCTCAGCAATAGCTGTTGTGTTTTTCATAAGACCACAGAACTTAACAGTTCAATTTGATGGTATTTCAGTATAAAATCCAGACTAGTTAAGTGTAAAAACTCATCATGTGACTCTATCCATGTCAATCTTTTCAAAATATAATGGCAAGAAAACCTGCTACAGATTTCCCTATGCTGCTCACATTTTTTATCTATCATTGTTTACTAGTTCTTTTGACTTTTTATGTCACAGAGATATTAAAAAGACTGATCTTAAAAAAAAAATCAGGAAAATTAAGTTAATGCTCAGGAAAATACAACACAAAGTCTTTGGGTATGCAGTACTTTGTACAGTCCCAGTAACACCTGCAACACCAGAAACACCTCTTAGATAGCTATCTTCACTTGTCTTCACTGTAACACTGAAATACCACTCATTCTAGCAGAACAGCTAATTTAATTTGGTTTTGTTACTTCTAATATGTGAAAGTATCATTTTACTTCTGCTAATCCTAAAGGAAAATGACAACCAAACTTCAAATACTTCATTTGTCTGAAAAAAGTGAAAGGTGTGCAAGCTATTCACCAGACGATAGCAATGAGTAGCAGGAAAATAGAGGTCTAGTTTGTCACTACTTATTAGCCTTATGGGAAGACTGGGTAGACCTGAGACGTTTATTTTTAAGGCTCACTATCAATCATAGGAAGATGAGGCAGCTCCGAACCTACGGCATGCTAACATAGGTTATGAAATTGTTATATAGGAACTGTGCCTGTTTGAACACACACACGTATTTGTCTTCATATAGTAAATGAGTAATAAATAAACTGCATAGTGTAAAAATAATAAATATTTAAAAATCCCTTTAAAGCTAAGTTAGCGCATACTCATCTCCAATGCAAATCACCTTTGTGAGGCATCAAGGAAGAAACAACTTTTTCTGTTAGGCTGCAAAGAGTGGAAGAGGTGCCTTAATTGCCAGATGGGGACTGGGCATTGCCTACCAGGGGTAAGGGCGACCTGTGCTGAGGACAGAGGTGAGGGAGGCAGAGAGACCTGTAGTCAGCTCCTCAAAACATTACTGAACACCTTCAGCCCCTCATTTGCAAAGCCTAAAACTCCTTTGGGCCCTCCCTCTCATCCCTAGTCAAGAAAATGAGCACCCTGGAGTGCTTTCAGTCTTGTCCCAGACTCTTTTTTTTCTCTGGATACTTCCTGCATTACAGCTACATCCCCAATGTGAATCGAAGTTCATCCCAGCTGCATACTAGCCTCTCCTCTCACGAGAAACCTTTTTCTGGGAAAAGGCCAAGTGTGAAAGCCAGTAAAGAGCTACCCAGTCCAGCTGTACCTTAGTTGAGCACACACACAAAAAAATCAGGTATTACTCTAAATATTTATGAGTTTATATGAATTAAAGCAACAGGAAAAACCATTAAATGATCACAAGAAAAAAACTGAAGGAAGTTGTTTTGGTGGTACAGACCAGACCCAAAAGCAGTGATTGGAAAGGTGCCTATGGATGACCCAGTATCAGTGCAGGGCAGCGATACACAAGTGACTTTTAAAGACGGTATCACAGATACCTCACTGAAGCAGTACAGAGCTCTGAGGTCAGGAGCATTGGTTTACCACAGGCCATAGCCATAAATAAACCCAATCTCTCTAGAAAACAGAGCGGTAAACACTCGATTTTTTCTCCACAAAATCCTGTAATAATATACATCTATTTGGGCTAATTTGTCTGTGTCTTTTCTATGCTTATTTTGTTGGCTTTGTTGTTCCTGTCACAGAAGTTCAAAAAAAAGACAAAATTGAAGATTACCACGTGGTTAGAATTTGCTTTCTCTTTTACTGGTGGTTTTGAAACAATGTTGAAAGAAACCTGTGAAGGAAACCAATGAGTAACTATGTTTTTCACTACTTTTTGGGTTAAATTTGAAGTATATTTATTGACTTACCACTTTCTGATATACTCCCCTCACCTGATGGTATTTGCCAGATATAAGTTCTTTAAACATAGGGAAGAAAATGAAAAAATATTTGGACAAAACTGAGGGCAGAGACCCAGCCATACTCTTCACTGAAACAGTTCTAACGAAAATACTCAGAAAGGCAGTTTACGTTATAGACTTCAACAGGTATTTATAGTAAAGCTTTCTCAGTGTAAGACTACAGAACAGTTATTTAGAATGGGTTGCTTAAAACCACTCTAATTTTACCTATAATGAAACATATATGAAATAATATGTGTGGCAGAAAACTTGAACCTCATATAAAATGTGTGTAGGTTTTTTACCATGCATTTGAACTTTTCCCTCCCTCCCCCTATTCTTTTACCCACTTGTGAGAATTATCTATCTGCACACACATATACAGGCACCAATGTACTTCACACATTTCAGTGTTTTGTGTCACCTTCTCCATCTTGCGTTATGGTTAACTTGAAAACCAAGAAAGCTTTAGCTCAAATGATCACTTGCTTTTCTCTGTTGTTCTGAAGGCTGCAATTCGCTAAAATGGCGCAAAATTATGGTTAGAAGCCAAATACATCCTTGTCTCAGCCACGTGCAGAAAACATTGTCTCCACAGACTATGTTATATATCCAAGTTCCTGCAATCACAGCACAGGGGAAAACATTTAATTTCAACCTGAAATGACTCCATGTTTATTTTTTTTAAGTTTGATTAATGAAGTGCGATAATCCCTGAAGGTTGGGGTTTTTTTCCCTAAAATGTGAAATTATTAATTAATTTAATACATTAATATTTGATCTGAATTAAATTTACATTCACTGGTAGAGTAACTTTAAACGCGCCTGACAGTATGTAACCAACAGCCTTAAGGAGCATACCAGCCGATCTTTTCTGTTGCTTCAAATGAGAATCCAATGGGCTTGCAAAATTAGTAACTACATTAAACAGACTTTCAAAAGGGACATAACTACACAAAACAAACCACTATAATGCATTAACCTTGACACTACATCTTGACACTGTATTTAGGATGAAATTATACAGAACATAAACATTTTAAAAGCTACACCTTTATGAATTAGGTTCTTTTAAATTGTTAATTAATAAATGTATTGATTTTTTCAACTACTAGCAATACGTGATCAATTCTATACCTTGTCTAGTAGACCAGATGAGATTGCCATCCACTGAAAAGCTATGGGTTTTGAGAAACTACATTCAATGTGTTTTCTCAGTTAATATGACAGTTACAGAGAAAGACAATTTTAGATTCCACATAAATCATTAAATCAACTATTTAATGACTTTCTCTCCAGAATAAAGGAGAAAAAAAAAGGAAGTGAAATGAGAATGAAAAAAAAAAATCATACAATAACTAGATATAAAAGAATTTAGACTTTATCCAGGAGTTGGAATATTTGAAAGTATAAACTCCATTTTTACTGCTTGAACTGGTTGACAGAAAACAAATAAAGTACAGACTTATAGTCTGACTATATTCTAGGCTCATTTTTATACTGCTAAATTACATAGTTTTGTCATTCAACTTTTAAAATCCAGCATGACTAAAATGTTGTTCTTTATTTTCTGTTCTATAGTACAGATTCACTTTTTATATCATAAAAAGTGACAGGTTTGTTTTGAATTCAGCCAAGTAACTAGCTACAATAGGGTGTGCATTAATGTAGTATAGTATGGTGCAGTATAAAACACTAATCCTGCATTCATAGAGGAAGGAAGGTCTCCAGCCTCATACTACATTCAAGAACATAGTTGGACAGCTAACAAATAAACAGCTTGACATTATCGTTCTAAGTGAAAGGTAACTTGTTATTTAGGAAAACAGTAAACTACATAACAGCACAAAACAGATGCATTCTCTTAATCTAATGATTTAAATTATCCATTATCAGTAAAAAAATCCTTTTCATTCCTACAGTACTTTGTCGTTCTTGCAGAAAGTAAATCATGATCAAATGGTCTAGGAACTGAAAGCAATTAAAAAGTAAAGGTGTGAAGCTTAGTACCACTAAATACTAAAGACCAAATGCTGCTTTGGTCTTTGAAGTGGATAAAGATTTAATGCCTTGATTTATTGTCCAAGTACTGTAAAGAACACTTCGGCACAATCGCCAAGTCCTAAATAATGCAATCCCTCCATAAGAATTGTGTTTAGCTTAGCCACTAGCTTGACTACTAGTTAAGGTCATATCAAGAACTTTCTCCCCTAAAATGAGGAAACGGAATCTTAAAAGAATCTGCTACTTACTTTAACAGATGTGTCTCTGTAAATAAAGAGAATATGGGTTTTTCCTCATAGGCTCTGGTAGAAATTAAAACAAAAAACTGACATGCTGGGGCAGGTTTTACTGTGGATATGTCTGCCAACCTTGCAACCTGAAAGGTTAGCTTCATCACTTAGCTGCAACTAGCTATCACAAGACTTACCTCCACCATTTTTCTGACACAGATACGGGAATCGCCACACATTCCCCAATCCCACAGAAAATCCAACTTGTGCCAGAATATATTGGAGTTTGCTGTTCCAAGCAGGTCTTTCATCTTCTACATCCGAGCCTTCTTCAACATCTACATCTTTTTCTTCCCGATCGCCAACCATAAGTTCACTCTTCTTAAAGGCATCATCTGAAGAGTCTTCATTGGAAAGAAGGTCCTTAACTGACTCAATGACCTCATCATCTAGTTCTCTTTTCACTACCTTGCTGTTCTTAGGCATTTGTAACACGAGAAACACAGTGAGGAAGTCAAGTTCAGCTGAGACAGATGGACAAGCGCTGAAGCAAGCTCTCCCTCTGCTTGGCCACAAATACTGAAGAAATAGACTGAAGACGGTGCCTGACGAGCCCTTGATACCACGGAATCAAGAGTAAGGACTTCTGTTTCTGAATGTTTCTTCTACTGAAAGTATCTGTGGGGGAAAAAAAAGGATATTATACTACTATGCGGAAGAAAGTTAATTTGGAAATCATACACCTTGGTTTACCCATTTCTGCTTATCTCAATGATTTGACAAGCGGAAAAAAAGAAGGTATGTTAAACCATTTCAAAATTGTAGGAATTAAGTCCACTGCTTGGTCTTACATATTTATGTAGAATACATTTCATTCACTTGCTGAGGGTTATTTTGGTTTTGTTTTTTTAGTTCCTAAAGACTGATAGGCTAATTGCTCATATTTTGACAGCATAACAAGATTCTTCTTATCAGGCATAATGGGGTATGCGCTTTACATACAATTTAGGAGCCCAATTCCATTACTTCCTAACAGCTGTACTTGAATTTATTAAAAATATTTTTTAAACAAAGTAGATTAATTTTTTCAGACCATTTCAGACACTTACGCAGCAATTAAAATTTTGATATATAGGATGTACCTAGTGCTTCAAAAAAAAAGGGTGACTTATTTTCCTGTGTTCTTCATCAAGGAATATATAATTCCAATCATATTTTCAAAGGAGAGATGCTCATCTTTTATGAGCTTTGATGCTTTAGATAGTTTCTAGAAATAGGAAATAATTAAACATATCTGAAACATCTGAGAAGCCATAACCAAACCCATTTAAAAAGGCTGCTGCTTCAAACATGTATGTACAGACACAAAAATGCCTGCATTTGAATATGTGTTTAACACAGTGAATCATTTAAAAAGACAGATAGACTTGCTTGCAGCTGCCATAGTGAAGGTAACCATAAGATTTTGGGGAGGAATGTTTTCAAGAAATTCTTCACTAATCACATGGGATAAAACTAGTATGTGCAAAGCCATCTGCACAATTAAGAGTCTTAAAGGGATTTAGATGATGTGTTAAGCTTCATAAAAACCCTAAAGAGGGAATACACAAGGAGTCTAATCAAGAACTGCTAAGAATCAGAAATTACTCCGGGATACACGAAGCTTTTCAGCTTTTGCTTATGGACTTGCTGCAACATCTGGTCCATAGGACAAAGGCTGTATCATGTTCTGATGAACTCACACGTAGTCAAGAACTGCAAGGTATTACTGGACTGTTAGCACAATAATTGAGAGATCAAGCAATAACTGAGAGATCAAGCACCTCACAGCTGCTTCAGTGACAGACCAGAAGGAAAGACATCAAGCCACTAGAACCCAGCCCGCAGCTTAACAAGATGAGACTTCACAACAACGGAACTAAAACCTCTGTCACCACAAGTACTATCACCAGCCTTCTGGCTGACAGGACAATTACCTTTTTCAATAGTTTCCAAGGATTTGGAAGTGGAACTTCACTCCAGTTGCCTACTGAACTCCACTGTAACCTCTTTTCATTCATTCCCTAGACTCCCATCACTGCCTTCTCACCTTCCCTCTCCCTCCTGTTTCTGCCTCCTCTCAGCAACTCCAGCCCTGGCAGTCAGCCCAAATTTTTGAGCACAGTAGAGCCTACTGGCTTGTGATCTGCTTCATGCTCACCACTGTCGCTGGAAGGGTTCAGGGTCCTACCAACCTTCCTTCTGATATGTGGTGGAACTAGGATCAGGCTTTGTTTTGACTGATATCACATCTTTAAAAAAATTAAGTGTATGAACTACACACAGAACAGTATAATGGGGAAAGAGAGTTATTAAGACAATAGAGAAATCCTAATACTGTATTATGTATATTGGGGCTAAATGAATGTCTGTTCAGGCCTCTTTTTATCTATTTTGTCTTTTACATTGTAAACTTTTCAAAGGACTACACCCTCTTCTAGTCCATGCATGGTTCAGTAGCTCTTAGTTCTGATGGAGATACCTAGGTAGAACGAGAATGCAAACACCAATAATACATTAAGTTGAAGCATTTAAGCAGTCCTGATGGAGCTTTGGGACTATGAGCTGCAGCATCTGGTACTTCAACCACTACTTTTAGTCACATTTCAAACTTTTCTTTTCCTTTTGTTCCACTGATGTAAATTAGTGCAGCTTCTCAGTTCCTGTAATTAGTAATAAGTTCAGGGAGTATGTTAAAATGAAAACATTTTCTCTCTGTATTTAACATAACAGCCTCACAAGTGAAACTACATTGGTATTTGTCTGTAGGTCTGAATTCCTTCTCTAACTGTACCAAGCAAAACATATTTTCAGTCGAAAAGGCACAAGCCATCTATCAGTATTTATCAAAATGTTTTAAAAGGTCATAGCTGTATTAATTATTTTAGATATAGTAACATGCAGAGCAGCAATATGATTTATCTAGAGCTCTCACAGATGAGTCAATTCCAACAGAAATTGCATCATTCTGTCCTGTCATGCATTAAACATTGCATTACTACACTTCAGAATAAACTGGGCTTGATACTTTTATTCCTAGCATAGTATCATATTAATTTCCCCTTCATTAACCTTGCATGAAGCAGGATGTGATCCATAGCACTATCACTATACAGACCTGCAATATTTGCAGGGCTTGAGAAAACGTGGGAGGCATGCTCAGCAGACTGGTGCTTGGTTCTAACAGTACTGGTCTTCTAACTGAGTATGTATCGTTGGCCAGACTGCATCAAGGATGCAGGATAGTCCCTCGGGATACATCCTTAGGTGGTCTCCGACTGTCAGATCTAACAACTTGTTCTCTGTACTAAAGAAGTCAGCACCAAACCGCATGAGGAGTCCCACCTCACCAGACACTACCATCAGGTACAAACGTTGAAAGCCTTGTCCCAGCTGGGTTGTGCACAGCATCTGCCGTTCTGTGCCTGGCATGCCCAGAGCATGCTCTGGGATGTGCACAGAAGCCTCTCTCTTTGTGACAAATCAAACCTGCACAGAAAGTGGATACCAAAGTACTCAGCTTGAGTTGGATCTAGTTATGAATGCTCCTGAGTGAAGACTGAATAGGGAGATACCTACTAAAGTTACTCACCAGCACAGGTCAGCTAAACACCAACCACTGAACAAGCTCTTATTTTATTTGGTTTTTTATATCACAATATTGCCTTTCAGCACTTAGATCTATAAAATGCTATTTTAGGTTTCCACATCATTTGGATCTAGTCCAGTATTGAATTGAAGTTCTTCATTAGTATCGAATAGTAATTAGGAAATAACATGCCAAATTCTGTTAAACTGCTCTTTCAGTCAGTTCCCCTACTAGCGACCTCCTACACAGCCTTATGCAGGATTACAGCATTATGTGATAGGACTGTTTCTCCTAAGTATCATTAAAAAATCTGCATAACAAACCACTATATTCACTAACGAACTTCAGAACTCAGTATCGTAGACTCAGCCATTTCTGGGACCATTTTAAACTCCAAGTCCTAAATCTTGTCACATATTTTAAAACAGTAGTATACTATACTATTACTAGCACCTTGATTAAAAGTAAAATGTCTAAAATATAACTTAGCCTTACTAAAGCTGTTTGATTTTTGTTTTGTTTTTGTTTTTTCTATCTTAGATCTAGATCATAGAATTTGATAAATTGATTTAATTCTGGTTTCCAGGCAGGTTCACTCATCCTTTTCATAACTCAAATGATGTCATGTGTCAGATGAAAACACTGAAAGGAAATTTTTATTATCTCGTTTACTGGAAAATATATTTCTCTGGACTTTTCCACAACTGAAATGAACAAATAAAGACGGTATCCCTTTACTTACGTAAAATGCCCTTTAAAAAAAAAAAATCTCAAATTAATCTTAAACTGACCTGACAAGTGTCTGTACTGTTTGAGGAAATTTAACAGAATGGAAATTGCTGAACAGTACAAGGTTCAGTTAGAAGAACATTTAGAAAATTGTTTTGTCACTGAATTAACAGAAATCAATAATCTGAGTTAGCATGAAGAAACTTTTGGAAACAACTCCCTAAATCAAACAAATCAGCTAGATTTTTATGATGTCTCACTACCATTGTCCTTGATATGGTAAATTCTCTATTTCTTTCTCATACTGAAAGATAAAACAGTCAGTGCTTTTTGACACATCAAGAAAACTGCAGACCTAAACTTTCCTTCTCAGAACATAGTGGGAATTTTGTTATTTTCTTCTACAGAAGAAGAATCAAGACTTAATCCATCAGCATGCAGAAGTAAAGTAACCTGATTAGACTGCCACATTATTAGCAGATTAAGCAATAATAATCCCTCGCGACAGGGAATTCAGACCCAAATTAGCTCCCTGGGAGATCTGGGCTCGCTATAGAACTTCTACTTCAGCTTCAAGCCCGCATTCAGAAACGCTGGCACAGGCAGATAAGACCCGTAAAGCCTCCGCTGACCAAACTGCAAGCATTTGCAGTAAGGCTCAAATGAATTTCATTAGTCAAAGCACCAAAAGACGCATTGAAAAATCTTGCTGCATGCCCTTTTCTTCCAATTTTTCTTATACGCAATGCCTAGTGAGGGAGGTGTACTACTCCTGTCCAACGCTGCCCGCTCCTCTTCACCCTTTCACTGGTAATGAATCTTACATCGGCTCCCTTTGACACGCCTCGGTTAGACAGATCTGCATGGCAATATACCGACACTGACTAGAATAACATCCTATTTCTAGTTCTCTCAACTGTGCAGTACCAGTAAACAATTAAAAGTTATGAGGCTGGAGATCTTCACAACGTGTAAAGAAAAAGAGGCACAACAAAATCTCATTTGCTTGCAAATTTGAAAGTATAATGAGTACAACTGCCCCATGTTCTTGCAACTACAGCACAAGTCTCTATAAAAAGGCCATTTGTAAAGCTATTTCATGTCTAAAACATCCCACACTACTATTGCAACAGCTGATATAACTAAATACTAAAGAACTTTTAGCAGTGCTTTTCTGACATAAATTAAAACACGATTATTTTTACATTGTACTCCTTTTTGAAACCAGCACTCCTCTCTGAAAAGGAAAGCCCAATAAACTCTCTATTCTTTTCTAACACAGTGTACTTTATTTCTTTTATCTTATTTTTACATCTGATTAAA